CAGGCAGTATATAAAACTGTGAGATGTGCAAAAGTGCTAGCAAGATTGAAGCCTAAAAGTTAAATATTTCTCTAACACAGCAGTCCACAACCTTTTTGTGGCCAGTAGCACATTCATTTTTTTTCTCAGAAGAGTATGGCAGGCACCAACAATTTTTCAAGGCTTATTTTGTATTTGTACATTAAATAATATGAAAAACATATTTAATATTGCATAATATATGAATCCATAAGATAAAAAGGTAATTTTACAAATAAAAAGGTATTAATTAAATTATTCGGCAATTACTCTTTCACCTTACCATGTGAATTTGCTCTTTTTTTATCTACCTGTAAGAAAAATTAAGTTTTTACAAAATAAATATCAAACAGTTTTCATCTTATTTATTTAAAAAAAGTAAAACTTTGTTGAACTGCTGGTCCAAATATATTTATTATTCTTACTTTAACATAGCCAGTTATGGTTAATTAAAATATTCTTTGTATTGTTACTTGTATCTGGATTTCAATAAAACAAACAAACAAACAAACAAACAAGAAAAAAAGTTAAACACAAGTTAATTATACGCGCTCATCAGCACTTAATGGAAAATAGGTATCATTAATTCATGTGGTTTTTCTAATAAAAAGTCAGTGTGATTTTTGGCACTGCATTTCTTCAGCCAATTTTTCGTAGTTGGGAGAGTAGGATGATATTCCCGTTCGTAAGCAATCGTCAAGATTGGCATCTGTAAGCCGAGATCTGTATTTTGATTTTATGATGTTCACTGTTGAAAACAGAACTTCGCATAGATAAGTGGAACCGAAATAAGATTTTATTTTGTATGCTACATTTTTTAAGGCAGGAAACTTCTTTTGGTCAACCAGATTCCAAAAATTTTCATCTATTGCACAGGATTTTAGAACAATATCATTTTGAAGGTCCAAAATCTCCAGTTCCACATCTTCTGTTCTTACTTGAATGAGACTCGCAATTGATGGACATTTCTGTTACCTCTATTTGGCAAGTAAAAGGATTCACAAGAAAGGCAACTACAGGCTCAATGATGGTGAACTGTTGAAATCTCTTATCAAATTGTTCCAGAAGTGTTTGAATATGGATAACAAATGGTGATGGGTTAAAATCACGGTCACATACCATTTTATTCATACTTGGGAAATGTATGAGACTTCGTCTTCAGATGTGACATCTACAAGATCAGTTTTGCTTTGAATGATTTTACAGAACCTATCATTTGAGACACGTGTTTTCCCTGGAGCTCAAGATTTAAAATGTTCAATTTGCCAGTGATGTTGGCAAGAAAAGCCAAGTCCATTAACCAGCTGGAGTCTTCTAGTTGCTCGAAGTTCTGATTTGTGGACTTTCAGAAATTCTTTGATTCAATTAGGCTTAAAAAACGTGCAAGAACTTTATCTTTGCTCAACCATCGTACTTCTGTGTGCAAGATAAGATCAGAATGTTTATCATCAACAGGGTTTGAGCATTGGCCTGCTAAATCCAGGGTTGTGAGTTCAATCCTTGAGGGGGCCACTTGGGGATCTGGGGCAAAATCAGTACTTGGTCCTGCTAGTGAAGGCAGGGGGCTGGACTCGATGACCTTTCAAGGTCCCTTCCAGTTCTAGGAGATGGGATATCTCCATTAATTATTATAATTATTATTAACAGGGCCTTAAAAAGTCGGTGTTGCAAAGGTTTAGCTCAAATAGAGTTAATTATTTTAATAACGACATTCATGTCGTGTTGAAAAGAAAGAACTTTGACGCACAAAGCTTCTTGGTGGATAATGCAATGATAAGAGAAAGTTTGGAAAGGATTCATTCTTCTTACAGAGTGCAATGAATCCATTGGCACTGCCCATCATTGCTGGTGCCCCATCAGTGGTGATCGCAGACGGCTTGTGTAGTGGCATACTAATTGATGTTGCATATGATTTGAATAAATTATAGATGTCCTCACCCTTTGTTCACCCTTTCATAGGCAATACTTTTAGTAACTCTTCTTTTACGGTGAAGTCACTAAATACTATCCTCACCATAACTGCCAACTGCGCTGTATCTGATCTATCTGTCGACTCATCGAATTGCAGTAAAAACCAGTCACATATTTCTAAGTCATCCTTTAGCTGAGTTTGCATGTCGCTTGAAATTGCATGTATCTTCCTCATAACTGTGTTTTCCGATAACTGCAAGTCTTGTATTGCCGACAAAATCTCACCCTTGTTAGAAAATCCTTGAAACAGGGAATCAGCACCAGTCAAAAATGCTTCCTTCAACAATTCACCATCTTGAAAGGGTTTTCTTCTTCTTTGCGAGCAGATGAGCAATTTTAAAGGAAGCAATAGTAGCACCTTTAGACTTTACCACTTGTCTAGTGAAAACAGATTGTTGGGCAGATAGAAGAAAATTAATCAATTCAAATCAAACCTTTCTCAACTCAGATTTAAGTGGATGGCTAATGTCAAAAGAGCCGTGATTACTTTGGAAATGGCATTTGACATTATGTTTTTTCGGCACTGCGACAGCACCCCCGCACAATAAGCAACTACATTTCCCTTTATTTTCAATAAACAATAGGATTCGTCCCACTCTGCGTTGAAATAATACGTACGTTGTCTTTTATTTGAACCATTCATTTTGGAGCAAAATGTTAAAAAAATAATAAATTGCAAAGCACAAGAAAACAGCAGTATCAGTGCAGGAAGAATACTCACATACAGGGCTGGCTCCAGGCACCAGTGAAGCAAGCATGTGCCTGGGGCAGCACATGCTACGGGGCAGCATTCCGTCCATTCTGCAGAGTCAGAGTCTTTTTTTTTTTTTTTTTTGGCGGCAGTGCAGAGAGTAGCCAGAGAGAAGCCGTGAGGACAGAGAACACCGGCGCCTGCTGGGGACAGAGAACTGACCGGTGCCCGCAGCCTGCAGCCCCGGAGAAGCCAGAGAGAAGCCGCGGTCCCGCGCCTGCCAGGGCCCCGGCGTTCTCTGTCCCCGGCAGGCGTGGGGCCTCGGCTTCTTCCCCCTGCTGGGTACTAGGCGGGTGCACATAAATGCCCCGGCGGGCGCCATGGCACCTGCGGGCACCATGTTGGGGACCACTGCTCTAACAGTTTAGTCCTGCTGTACTTGGCAACCATTTTATTTGGTGTGTTTCTAGCAAGACAGGGGCTAATATGGTGGCTGGTTGTTTCTTTGGCTGTGAACAAGAATAATTGATTATGTCAGCAGGGATGTGCACTACTGTAGGAGTAATAGACCTGGTAGCCTCTTAATTAATACCAGTGTTATCGGGAGTAACTTGCTACAAACTGCTATAACCACTGGAAAACTGGGATGAAAGAAGAATACAACCCAGTTTTCATTAGCACACTGCTGTGAGAAAACAGTAGAGGAACTCCCATATTTGGAGATGGCAAATGGTTTTTCCACTTTGGTTTTAAACAACCCAATAAGAAAAGTAGTTCACTTAAAAGTGTAGGGAAAAGTGGGGAGGAGAAGGGGACAGGGAATAGAACCTGGACAATACACCTCTACCTCAATAGAACACTGTCCTCGGGAGCCAAAAAAATCTTACCTCGTTATAGGTGAAACCGTGTTATGTTGAACTTGCTTTGATCCACCGGAGTGCGCAGCCCCGCCCCGCCCCGGAGCCCTGCTTTACCGCGTTATATCCGAATTTGTGTTATATTGGGTCGCGTTATATCAAGGTAGTGGTGTATTCTCATTTGTTTCTTTCAGGACCCCCCCCCCCAAAAAAACACAAAACAAACCAACCTGGACAGCATCCCTTTTAAAATTAGCTGGGAGCAAGTGGCACTGGTGAGGCACCAGGTGGAGTACTGTCTATAGTTTTGGATGCCAGACTTTAAGAAAGATATGGACAAATTAGAGAAAGTCCAGAGGAGGGTAACAAAAATGAAAAAAGGTTTAGAAAATCTGACCTATGAGGAAAATTAAAAAAAAAACCTAGACATATTTCATCATGCGAAAAGACGGGGGGGGGGGGACAGACCTGATAATAGTCTTCAAATATCTTAACAGCTGTTATAAAGAAACTGGCACTCAATTGTTCTCCATGTCCAGGAAGGGTAGGACTAGAAGTAATTAGGGTAAACAAAGAAGATTTAGGTTAGATATTTCTAACTATAAGGGTAGTTAAGCAGTGGAATTGGTTTCCAAGGTAAACTGTAGAATCACTGTCATTAGAGGATTTTAAGATCAGGTTGGAAAACCCTGGTCAGGGATCATCTAGGATGGTGTACCTGATCCCACCTCACTGCAGGGGGCTGGACTAGATGACCTCTCCAGGTCCCTTCCAGGTCTACATTTCTATGATTTAAAGGTCTCAACTAGGATGGGGCTAGGCCTAGTACAAGCTGGGAAAGGGCAGCCTCAAGGTAAGCGAACATGCACGTGCTACCCCACGGTAGGAACAGCGGACTGACCAGGTCAACCCTGGGGGGGGGGGGGGAGGGGCTGGTCACCTCCTGGTTTACTTCAAGATAAAGAGTCCGACATACATTAAAATGTCGAGTCTACGCTGAGTTTTTTTCCTGGGGATCACTCATGCCAGCCCAAAGTAAAACCCATCCTGATCCAGGGCCGCCCAGAGGATTCAGGGGGCCTAGGGGAAAGCAATTTCGGGGGCCCCTTCCATAAAAAAAAGTTACAATACTATAGAATTTTTTCATTTCAAGGTCCCAGAAGCAAAGACAAGGTTTTCATCTGGAGGCCAAAAGACCAAAAACATCAAGACACTTGATCACGGCCTTGGATAGATCAAGAGACTACCTACACTTGACCAGAGCTCCTATTCTCGTGGGGACCCCTGCGGGGCCCGGGGCAAATTGCCCCATTTCCCCCCCCCCTGTCCTGAGCGGTGCCCACCACTGAGGCAGCCATTGGGATGGGGGCAGCAGCCGTTTGCCCCGCCCCTCAGGGCTGCCCATGCAGAGCCCCCCCCCTTGTGACGCACGCATTGATTCCGTCCCGTCTGCCCTCGGCACTCGTTGACGTCAGCCACAGTTTGAGGTAGAGCGAAGTCTCGCTGCGCTTCTAGCCGTGATGCAATCGCTGTCCTAGTCAGCCGTTGCGGACGGCTGGTAGTAGCCTGCCGAGCCCAGTGGTGGGGTGAGTAGTTTTTGGCCTGCGGCAGACAGTCGCTCCGGAATGAGGCGGGGTTGTTGCCCCGAAAACGGCCGTGGCGGCTTCTGGAAACATGGTGTCACACGTGAGGCTTATGTAAAATGAACGATGTCTGCCGGAGCCAATGGGATGGCGGGTGGCCCCTGCCGCTTGCAGAGGCGGCGCCTCCCGGGCCAATGGGCGGCGCGGGGCGGTGTCTCAGTCACGTTGCTGAGTGTATGAAGTTGGTGCTGCGCTGGGTGAGCGGGGTTGTGAGGAGCCGGGGCGCCTGGTGAGTGAGGGACGGCGGGTCCCCCTCCCCGTTAGGTAACCGTGCCCGCCGCGCGGGCGGCTGTGCCCGGGGACTAGGGGGAATATCCCGTTCCCTGCGCCTGAGGGGGGCGGGGCGAGTGCGGGCGGGCGGGTCTGTCGGGGGTGCGGTACGGACTTGGGGGGCGGCTGCACCCCGGCCCCGAGCGCAGGGAGGCCCCGAGCGCAGGGAGCCCCCTGCTCTGTTTGAGGGTGGGCGAGGGTAGTCGGGGCGAGCGGATTGCGGTTTGGGGGCTGGGCGAGGGCGGTTATGGGATTGGGAACAAGCGAATCGGGGGTGCTGGGTGGGTTATGGGGGCTGGGCTGGGTGAATGAGAGGAGCGGGGGATGGGCGCTGCTTGAGGGGAGAGTGGGCAGGTGTGTTTGCAGTGGGAGGATGTATGCTAGTGTGCGCGTAAGGGGGTGTGCGTTGTCTGTACAGAGGGGTGTGTACTGAATGTTCCTATTTCCCTGTGACGTATGGCTCTTATCTAGTTCCTCTCCCATGGTAAGTGGAAAGTAATGGTACTGGCACTGCAATGAGGCGAAGGCTAGGTCTACACTACTTGGGGGGGGGGGGCGTCTACCTAAGATACACAATTTCAGCTACGTGAATAGCGTAGCTGAAGTTGCGTATTTTAGGTCGACTTAGTTGGCTGTGAGGACGGCGGCGAGTCGACCGCTGCCACTCCGCCGTTGACTCCGCTTCCGCCTCTTGCCGCGGTGGATTTCCGGAGTCGACAGCAGAGCGATCAGGGATCGATTTTTATCGCGTCTTCACTAGATGCGATAAGTCGATCCCCAATAGATCGATTGCTACCCGCCGATTCTCCCTGTGCTGTGAGAGGTGAGCTCCCAGCTAGGCTGTGGCACTGCAGGTGGTTCTAATCCTTCCAGTCTGGCATTAGGAGGCAAGATGATGGGACAGAGTAATTGTTTAATCACATTTAGGGCTTCACTTGCACTTAAACTGATGGTAAATCTGACCTTAAAATCTAGTTGTTGCTGACTTTCTTTGTAACTCTGCTGAGTCCTGTTAAGTGTGTTATACTGGATTCTACTTTTCTGGTAGGAGTATTGTACAATATTGTAGCTGAGTTGTATGTTGTAGGTGTCGTGCATATATGTTAATGATCATAGAATGCTTTTAAACATGCGTAAAACTAGATAAGTGATAAAAATCAATTCAGAATGCAAATTCTAAAGTCAGATAGAATTTAACTTGCGTGCTGTTAAATCTTCAGTGTATGCATGCAAATCTCTACTTGTTAAAATGTGAAGATAAAAGATTGTACTGGCTAGCTGAATCGCTACTACAGAATTAAATAAACCATAAATGAGGCAAGCAAGATGCTTTGTCTTGTGTTGCTTTCTATGCATGTTAGCAAACTGTCTCAAAGCTATAAGCTGTTATTACTTACCTTACATGCACGTAAACTGTCTTTGTAAAACCATTCTAACTGCCAAGCTCCGCTTAATGTAACTATATGGACAAAACTTATTAATTTCTTTTAATAACATTTAATAATTGGCTATTAGTAATACACTGAATAAATTATCATTTGAGAGAATTTAGCTACAATGTGTTCCTGCCAACAACAGGATCTCTAAAAGATGGCTTTATGGCAGTGGTTTTCAAAAAATTTTTCTGGGGACCCAGTTGAAGAAAATTGTTGATGTCCAGTACCCAACGGAGCTGGGGATGAGAAGTTTGGGGTGTAGGAGGAGCTCAGGACTGGGGCAGAGGGTTGGGGTGCAGGGGTGAGGGCTGTGGGGTGGAGCCAGTAATGAGGGGTTCAGGGAGTCGGAGGGGGCTCTGGGCTGAGGCAGGAGGGGGGTCAGGGTTCTGGGCTGGGGGTGCAGGCTGTGAAATGGGGCTGGGGATGAGAGGTTTGGGGTTCAGGAGGGGCTCTGGGTTTAGGGGGGCTCACGGCTGGGGCAGGGGGTTGCGGTGTGGACTTACTTCCGGTGGCTCCCGGGGTGCTGCGGGGGTATGAAGGCACACTTCCCTCCTGTCTTGGTACTGCGGACCGCGCTGCACCCCGGAAGTGGACAGCAGCAGGTTGGCTCCTAGGTGGAGGCGTGTGACTCTTGCCGCTCTTCTCCCCCTGCCTGCCAGTTTGGAGCCAGTGCTCAGGGCAGGGGCAGCGCGCGGAGCCCCGTGGCTCCCTTGTCTAGAGGCCGGACCCACTGCTGGCCGCTTCCGGGGCGCAGCGTGCTGTCGAAACAGGTAGACACTAGCCTGCCTTAGTTGGCCAGAACCGCCGAAGGAACTTTTAACGTCCCGGTCGGTGGTGGTGACCAGAGCGACCCAGTGCCTGACATGTTGCGACCAACTACTGGATCGCAACCTGAAGTTTGAAAAACTCTGCTTTATGGTGTATTCTAACTTGGAAACCAAAGCAGATTATTTGAGACTTTATTAACTGTTTTCAGTTGAGAGACTAGATTATCAGGATTTTAAAGGACTATATTTTTTAATTGTCTTAAGACCTGTGCTATAAAAGTGACTTTCTAAAATAGATATGTAAAGGTCTAAGCTCCACAACCTTACATATTTAATAGCTTGATTATTTTTCATTAAAAATAATACAAATTTACACTATACTAATATTGTTATTGTTTAGTAGATTACATAGGAAAATAGAAAATATATTTTTAATACTTTCTCTGTTATCTGTGTGGGCCTTTCATATAGCAACTTAAGGAAAGAACATAAAGAAAAACCATACCAATGATTCTAAAATCAAATTTGGCATGGAATCAGGAGTAGTACCTGAGGCTGTTAAATACATTTTTAAAAACTGACAAGATTTCAAGTTTTCAAGGTTCCTTTAGCCATCGAGACTGTTTACATATGACATACCTGTTTAGGTAACATTTCTCAGTACTACTAGTATCTCTGGGAATTGGCTTCTGTCTCTCAGGGATGATGAAAATAAATCCAGAAGATGCTAATATGATAGTGGTTGCCATCTGAGCATTTACTGACATATCCAAATCCTTACTATCTATATGTGTAGCAGCCGTACTAAGGCTTAATACATGGCATAAGTGTCAAACTAACGTCCTGTTCCTGCCAAGACTTACCCATGTGCTAAATTTTAGGCACTCAGGCCCTGATGTTGCACCATTACAGTATTTTTTTTTTTTTTCAGCCTGGCTATGGAATATGGCAGGCATGGCCAAACCATGGCTCGTGAGCCACATCAGCTCTTTTACAGTTAAAGTGTGGCTCGTGGGGCTCCCTCTACTGCCGCCTCCATTCTCTGCCTACCAGACTGCAGGGGTGAGAAGTTTGGGGGATTCTGCCCTGCATTGGGGTGGTGAGGTTAGGGCTTCCGCCAGAGATGACTGGTGCCTGTTGAGTTGGGGGGGGGGGGAGGCACACAATTAA